CAGATCCAATACCCCACAGACATTACCCGTACCCTACAGAACCTAACCTTGGAAATTTCCGTCGTTTAGGGATTTTTCAACCACCAAACGGAAATCGGCTTCGCTACTTCTCTAGCTATAGCATAATTACAGGTGATTGTTGATTGAGAAGAGCCATCTCCTCGCCGTCTTGGCGCATTTTTGGTTGCCAGTTCCTTGTCTTTGCTCAAGTAAGTAGGACTGCTGTCTGTGTGCCCCCTTCAAACAAACAACAAACAAAATCTATTCGCAGCATGCCGTTTTTTGTTGCTCCGCAGGGGGGTAACCCCAGGGTCTAACGGATTAATGTGATGACAACGACAACAACAACAACATTAAGAAAAAAAAAAGCATGCACGTTGAGTGCAGCAAACTGCCTACACCGCCCGCCATCACAACAGCAGCAACACGTCCTCCCATCCGTCGTTCGAGCTCCACGCAAGGTCAGCCAACCGAAAACAGTCGACTGTTCGCAAGGAACCTTGTGGAGCCAGGTCGGATCTGTCTTTGCATCACCGCCCACCCACCACCCACCTTCGCGTCACCATGATGAGGTAGGTGTATAGTCATTTTTTTCGCACCAACCATCCTCACATTGGAATGTTGTGAATCCGCCGGCAGTCCATGCGCTGCTCAACGTGCGCAACTTATGGACTGCCCATGGGGAACTTCATGGACTACCGAAGTTGTGCGGGTGTGGGAGACCCAGACATACATGTGGTTCTCGTTGAATGTGTTCGCCTTCGCACCGCCACAAGTGGAGCGACACACGAACTTTGTGAGATGTTCTCGCCTCCAATACGGCCCTCATCAGCACAGCAGCGTGATTGGTGGCATGAGCTATTACTGCCGTTGCAGACCTGCAGCTCAGGAGGTAGATATCCGAGGTGGTGGCGAACACAGACTCTTGTGACAGACGTCGCGTGCCACCTCTCCATGGTATCCTACTGTCTTGTACTGACAACAGCCTCACACAAGGAGCTCTACAGGTCTACTCAACGTACTACGTAGCTTGAGCGTACACAATGTCGTACTGGATTATGGGGAAATAAGTTGAGACAGAGCAGAGAGGACGCGAAGCTTTTGCTGACTGCACCAGACGGCGCGCTCAGAGGGAGGAGTATTGTTTGCCTGGCCGTACTAGCCTTCCCTGCACAAAGCTCCGTATTCTGAAGTAGGAACGAGCACGGACTGCTGTAGATGGCTCTCTCTCGGAGAAATATCGCTGAAAAGAACCCGGAAGAGTCGCCAAGTTGCCTGCAGCGTGCAGACAAGCATGAAGAAGAACGCGCCACTCCTGGAAGCGTATACGTATCAACAACTGCAGCCGCAGTTCCCACGGTAGGGTGACTACCAGAGGTTGCCCTATAGCCTGCAGCCGCCCTCAGATCATTGATGCGTCGTAGGCAACAGCGTATGGGTCCTTGGTCGGGCTAGCTTTCGTTTCTATTTTAACACAAGAAGAGGTATGATTGCTTGTTCACCGCAAAATTCACCAGCATGGTCGTAGAGGGAATGACAAGCCAAGCACCCTCTGGCCTCTCAGGTCAAGGATGAAGGTAAAACCTTCGGGACTTTGACCTCTAATAGTTTTTTCGGTCGGTGACCCACAGATTGGATGTCTGTTCAACTTATTGCTACCTTTCCCTCTGCATCTACGTTCCTGAAGAAAATGAAACAAGAAAAATCTTTCTCGACCAAATTCTTCTAATCTCACTTCAAATGACGTCATCTGACCAGGTGAAAATACACAGCCTCAACGGTCTCCAAATCTACAAAACAGCCGGTCAGGTTGAGCGCAGCACGCACACTCAGTCTGATCCCCACCGCCAGCCTCCCTTTGTATGCGGAGTAGCCGGCATTTTGGATCCCTGCCGTGGTGCCACATACATAACTCTCTCCGATAGGACTTGAGGCTTGGCGGGAAGGCTGTATCGAGTTCGCGCACTGCTGTTCTTCCACATTGGCCGTAAGCCTGACATCAACTTCTTCTGCTTCACAATCGAATCCAGGTGTGTGAGTGTGTTGGTTGGACACAAAGTGTCTCTCGTCGAGTACCACACCAATAAGATCCACCACTACTGCTCAACACGAAGATGTGTACTACTCACTGATGCTGCTGCTGCCCTTGCTGAAGGATACTCTACAACATGGCTACGACACACCGGAGAAACACAGGGAAGTCTCGTGCTGCTGCTTGATGGGGCAGCCAATGATTGCATAGACCCGATGACTTGATCTATTCAAAATGTTCGCCACCACCTTTCTTTTATTGCCTCGCTCCTACTCCACCAAGACTGATGACCCTCCATTCATTTACAAAAGCACTGCAATCTCTCCCCTCCCATGTAGTACTTATATCACAACCTCC